TGAGACCTGCGTGAGCACTGGCTCCTACAGCGGCAGCACAGCATGTCTAATCCCTGAGAAGATCCACCTGTAGTAGCAGTGTTTTTGGAAAAAGGTGGGGAGGGCGGGTTGCTGCCCAACCCCATGCCCGCCCCCAGAAGGTTCCTGGTGGCGTCCAGCGCGCTGCCCCTGGCGCTGGGCTGGGGCTGGAACGTTAGCCTGTACGTGGCGATGCTCCTCGGGCTCCTGATGCTCATGCTGCTGCTTCTCTGGGTGCTTCTCAAGCAGCTGAGCAACTCTGTGGCTAAATCCACGTTGCAGCCCGTCCGCTCTTTCAGGCAGCCTTGTTGTGAGCAGAGGTGTCAGCACGTATTGTGAAAAACTGGACAAATCTGCCGAGACTAAGGGTCGTTCGTGCGCTTGCGTGTGTGTTTGGAGATTCGTGTGAGAAAATGACTTAAAAAAACATTTGTTCTGGACTCAAGTGCGTATCGTGCCCCCCTCACGATATAATAAAAACTAAAGATCTGTATAGAAACCCATTGTTTTTATTAGCTTTATATGTTAAAGGCATTTTTCTCGTACAAGCATGGAGTCCTATGTTTTGATTAGCAATTAAAAATGTTAAAATTACTTAACAGCTGCTTTTTTTTTGTTTCTGATTAATTTCCACAGCTGAGTTCAAAGTTTTAAATTGCCGGGGAAACGTAGAAGCCAAGATTAAATCTGCATCTTGATTCATGCTGATTAAAGCGATGCATTCAGGAGGGCAATCTGCTCTGCTCTCATCTCACTGGTGAGTTGGCAGGAGGGATATTGAGGATATGAAAGGACCTGTATGACTCTGGCTTCGTCCACTTCTGTGTTCCTGTCAGGAGGCAAAACAATGAGACACTTGAGGCAAACAAGAGCCCACTTGCTTAATGCTGTTTGGTTTCTCAGGTAGTAACTATACACAGGCAGGAGCATTGATTGAACCTGCGAAGATGCTTTGCTCAGTCAGTCACAGGTGGCCAGGCTGTGTTTGAGAGGCATGGCTGGCCTCTCAGCCCTGATTGAAGTGTGTTAGCTACATTTGATTTCATTATAGCCTACAGCAAGACCATAACACCACACCCCGTGGTTTAGAAAGGGTCTCAGCATTGTTCATGTTAAACACAGTCAGGAGCAGAAACATAAGCTCTAATCAAATCAGTGTAATTAGTGGCACAATCCATGCATCTGTGTGTGTCTAATAATGCTACTCTAAATAACTGTCACTGTGGAGTTAGTAATGGCTGTGGTGTATCAGTTAAAATCCAAACCGGACTCTCCATAAGCTTCCTTTCCTTTTCTAGGAGGCTGTAGGTTAGTTTACACATGGTGTAGCCTATATGTATGTGGTTTCTCAAAAAACAGAATAACAAAGGACAGATAAAGTATATAGACAGACAATGGACTAAGAAAGATTCCACAATTAGGTTATATGGAATTTTGGCAGTAAACAGTGCACTTAAAATACCATTTGTAATGAGATTAATATAGTTAAATCAGGTAACTAAGGTACATGTGGCCACTTAGTCAAACATGCAAGCTATACAAGCACTGAATGCTTGCTCATCTCGCTTTCACAACAGAAATACAAATATAAAGCTTACATACACATTCATTCATCCACAGCCAGCAATTGCAACAGATCCATTGTTCTCTGTAGCAAACTAACAGACAAACTAAAATGAGCCGGTAAACTAGTTGGCACTCACTGGCCTACTGGCTCCTGGAGGCCTGCGTTTTGTCCAGTGAAACTAAGAACAGCTATGCTTTAATCTCTGTGAACTGCAAGCCTTTTTAATAGTGTGTGTGTTTTCTGAAAAGAGTTAGATGGAAACATTGCTATTGCTGAGTATCCATTTAATATGAAACTGCAAATAACGGTTTAGTTTAGCTTAGCACAGCTAGCCTGGCTCTGTCAATCGGTCATGAGAACAGCTAAAGCTCTAACTAACATGCCTCATCTCCTTAACTGAATCTGTAGAGAAGTATAAGAAAGGCAATCTGTGTGTTTTGTCTCACACACAGAACCAGGGTACTGTGGCTCTGTCCTGGTTCTAGTATTGTGCTAAGGAAACTGGCTCTGGCTCTTGCTTCATATTTACTGTACAACTATGATGCTGGTATCAGTTTTCTCACCTATTAAATATTTTCTCCCAAGACACTTTTAACGGTTTGTGTGAAAATGCTTTACTATACAGTATCTTGGCTATTTTCAAACCACTGACTCTTCAGGGATTCCTTTTTCAATCTGACAATATAGTTCACATGTCTGATCCCTTCACCAAGAGACCTGCCAGTTAATGAGGTCTGACAACATGGATAAACCCCATGAGTGCACGGTATCATCTGTTGTTGAGCTGAAAACTGTCCTCTGTATTTGTATCCACAATGTTGTAGGTATAGGATGTGCTGTAAAAATTGTGTCTGAAATTTTAGGTTATAACATTTGAGTTGAATTTAGGACCACAAATTTGTTATCCATTGAAATTTAAATGTATGCAATTAAAACTGTAATGATTTGCCAATGAACTGATTTGAAGAGCTACAGAAAATGAATTTATAACAATTTTTATAATAGAATCACTTTTTTCAGCAAACCTGGCAAAGTTTCTCTGGTTACACCTTCTGAAATGTGAGGATCTTTGTCATGTACTGTACTTTGGGTTTTGGACTATTTTTCAGACAAAATAAGCCTTTTTTTTAAATAAATGACTTTATCATGTGGGAAAAGGTTAAACCAAACTGTTTAGCTTTTCAGTTGCTAATGCATAAATATACATATTACATTATGTGGAAAGAACAAAATATGTGTTGGGAGGAAGCAGTCTGAACATTTTCCAAATACTTCAACTGAAGCACAATAAAAGAAAAACATGACCTTTTTAAGAATCTTTGTGAAATTTGAGATATTAAATCAGCTACTGTAAGTATGAGCCATTCTGTTTGCATTTCACCATCAACTTATCTTGAATCTTATGTTTATTATTAGCACCTAGTACAGTTGTTTGTTAGTGATTAAAGGAAATTGGCTCCATTATCAAGGAAGCTGTAAGATGAAACGGTGAGCTTGTGTAACTGGATCGCCTTCGAGACGGTGCTGACATTCTCATCTTCTCACATATGCTCACTTTAATTAAGGTTTGCAAGGACGACAGCAATGATGATATGTGAGCTGCACCGCAACACTTTGCTGTGTTGATCTCTTCATTCTTATCAGTTATCTCCTGTTTGTCGTAACACACGCTCACCTCGGACTGACTCTGCCGGAACATATGTTGTCCTCAGAGATGTGGAGCATCCAATAAAAAAAAAAGCTAAACGTTAAATTAAATCTAAAATGATTTATTTTAAAATGTCCTGGAAAGTAAGTAACTACATTTAATAAAAGTATATAAAGTATATCTTATCATGGACTAAGTACAAATTAGAGATACATTGCTCAGGTGTTTTCATTTTTGGTTTCCTTATACTTCTGCTCCACCGCCATCAAAAGGGAATATTTTTACTTCACATTTACTTGAAAACTGTTATTAAACAGTCAGTTAAATATGAGACATTCCCACAGCTGCCCAGCACTATCTACAGTAAAATAATTAGCTCCACCTAAACAATCTACAGCAGTAAAATGGGACTTAAGCATCAGTAATATATTAAGCTCTTGTGCATTACTCCTCATTTCAGATTTTAGTTTTTCAGAAAATGTGTTTTCTAAAAAGGCTATATTGAATGCCAACAGGGCTGGATGTGCTCTTTGGGTTTTATTTTTCATCTGTGCAGTTGATCCAGAACTGACATCAAGAAAGTTAACTGATATCAGGGCAGTGTTATATTTTATATTAACTCTGCTGGAAACAGAACAGAAGTATCATAAGTTCATGGAAGGTGACGTCCACTAACTACAGTATAAAATCAGTTATCTGGTGACCATGGGGACACTAAATGTGGAAAAACATTTTACCTATAAAGACTGCTTAAAGGTGACTAAATGCATGAGGTCAGGCTGTCCCGTTTGACTGACAGTAAGTGAAAGATAACACCATATGTGCATGAGGAAGGGTGTCCTGTCAGCTACTGCCTGTGACACTGCAGCCTGGAGGAGTTGTAGTTTAGGGGACAGAAAATAAAAAGCCTCACCCTGAGCAGCAGATCACCTGCGAGGAGAACGAAGACAGGCACCTGGTGGTAAGAACAGAACGTAGTTACTGCTTAGAAATTCCTCAGTACAGATGCTGACACCATTGCTGATTAAGTTTTTTAAATAGTTACATGCTAACCTGGTCTTCACAGATCAGGATTAGTTTTTTCATCTGTTCTCTTTCAGTTTACGACACTTCCATCAGCAAAAGGATGGTGAGTGTTTCCATTCATTATTTTCTGTTAATATAGTAAATGAAAAACATCTATTTTGCATTAAATATTTAATATCAAGATCAGTGCTTTTTCCACAGCACTATAGCATGTACAGTGAGGTGGTTTTAAACAATGGTGACTATAGCATGTACAGTGAGGTGGTTTTGACTCTTGAGTCTTAAACAATACCCATTACAAATAAGTGGCAGCTATAGCTTCTGTGCAGCCCTAATTATCATCACATTGATTCCTCACTTTTCCCATTTCTTCCTACTTGCTATGAAGACTCGATATGTACAGATACTCTGACTCCTCGATGCTCCTTAATCCACTAACATGAATTTCCGTGAAGATGCACTCATTAGTAAAACATTAGCATAACTGGTGCAGTATACTCACACTGGCCTAACTAGAGAAGGAGCAGCTTAATTTGATATCCCAGATTTGATTTGATCCTCCCGGTTTGTTGAGCAACTTCAGACTGTCTGATGGGGATACGTTTATTTCAGGAGTCAAGCGACGGTAGTTGATGGCAGCGATCTAATCAGTATCATATTGTATTCCCATGTGCGTGGAAACTACAAGTATGTATCTATTGTTTCCCCAATGGGCTACAATTTCATCATAAAAAGCTGGGTGACAATGCTCTGATCACACTTTGCCTGGCAGCTGCACTTTCTGAAAAGATCAACACTGGCTTTGAGAGAAACAGGACCTATTATGCAAAAAGATTAAAAATCTTACACATAAGGGGGTTGACTACTTTCATGTTGTAATACTTCATCCGTAAGTATTTTAGTCCTTAGGAACTAGAAAAATGATGTTTATGTGACAGTGTTAACATGCTGATATTTAGCAGGCGTAATGTTTATGTTCACCTTCTTAGTTTAGCATATTAACAGGCCAGCATTGGCTAATTACTAAAAACAAATTACAGTTGAGGCTAATGGGAATGTCATTAGCTTTATAGGTATATACTGTAGTCACGAATCAAAGTTTGGACAAGTTTTGACCTAATGATGGTACTAGATGAATATTCAGAAGATCGTATGTTGCTCAAGTTCAACATCTGGGAACCAAAACCAAAATCTCTGACTTTAAGCCAAAACTGTAAACTTTGATCTATTTAGTACATGTGGAAATGGCTCAGGGATCATCTTTGACCTGCTGGTGGGGCTGACTGGAAAGGCACGGTGATTCATCCATGAATGTCCATGAATGTCTGTTTATAATTTTAAGGAAATCCTTACTGTTGTTGTAAAAGATGTTTCATCCTTTACCAACCAGCTCTGCCATCCAGAGCCACAAGATTAGTGTGGGGGAAAATTTACAATCTGGCATTTGTTCACCAATATTAGTGTCTTTGTAGAAGAATGCTGAATGTTGTAATAAAAAAAAAAGAATCCTGATCGAACGGTAAGTGATGATTCCCATCCTTGTAATGAAGGTAGACAAAAGGTGTGATGTCTCTGAAGAGAGGCAGTGGTGTCAAATTCAAACTCTGGTGGTTGATGGCAGGATCAGGGCTGTGACACTTCATGGTAACCATCCTCATGTTTCAGGGAGAGGCTGCTCTCATGAATACATCATGTGTAAAAACAGATGCCCAGCTAAATGAATAATAATAGCAGAAATGCTGACTGAGATGCAGGGAAATATATTCTTTCTTTTCTCTCACTTGCATAGAGTTTGAATCGAGGCTGCAGCTGAGGCAGATGCTTTATTACTTTTTCTTCAAATGGCATTTTCCTGGAGAACGACTGGGGCAGACACAGCAGATTTTTAAATTACCTGCCTAACACAAAACAGCAGCTACATTTGATTTAAGTTAAACTTAGCTTACTTGCTTCCAAGTTTGGATAAACAATTAGATCCAGATGGGTTTTGATGGCCTTTAGCAATATTATTATAACACAGCCAACAGCCATTTGGCTGCAGCAATTTTCAATATGTCTACATTTTTTATGCCATAAAATAAAATAAAACACACATTTTCTGCGGGAAATTTATTCCTGCTTGAAATATCAGTTGGATCATCACAAAGTAGCCTACAAAAACCGTCAGCTGAAATGGTATTGCATTTCAGAGAGTCTATGTCCTAATCTAGTGATTTTATCTAGTGCAACTGATATAATTAAACAATACAATGCCAATCCCAGCTGAAATTGGGTGAGAGGCGGGGTACATCCTGGACAGGTCGCCAGTCTAGCACAGGGCTGACACTTAGAGACAAACAACCACACACTCACGCTCAATCCTATGAGTAATGTAGAGTTGTCTTGATGTGAGGCGACAGCGCTAACCACTGCGCCGCTGTGCCACCCTATAAGGCAATATGTATTATTTTAATCTTGTAGCATAAACACCAGCATAGATAAGATACAATGCCTTTATTGTCAGTGTGTGGTATATACAACAAAATTCAGATGCATTGCCTGACATGGTGCTCAGTATTAATAGAACAAAATTCCACACTCTCACATCCACATGCTTTTAGCAAACACACAGATCAGACATACAATTGTCAGCGTATGCAAGTGTAAAACCAGGACCAGTTTTTCCAGACACTTCATAATGACTGGTGTTACTGCCACTGGCCTATAATCAATAAGGCAGGTTATTGCAGTCTGCTTTGGAAATGACACTATGGAGGATGTTTTGAAGCAGGTGGGGACAGTACACTCTGACAGGGATAAATTGAAGATATACCCCAGTTAACTCCTCAGCTCAGTCTCTGAAAACCTGACCTGAAATGCCATCTGGGCCAGCTGCTTTCTGCACACTGATGTTCCAGAGTGTGCGTGTAACTTCAGCAGTTTGCAGAATACGTATCTGGCTGATGGTGACACTCCCTGTTCTTTCCCCTCATAACGGCCGAAGAAGTGGTCGAGTTGCTTTGCCAGTGATGCGCTGCTGTTAGTGGTCTGGTTGACATTATTGTTTTGATTGGTAATATGAGGATACTAGTCAAGTGAAATCTGTAGTGCTGTGTAAAACATGCATATATTTGCACAAATAAACACAGTCCATCCTCATAAACAGGATAATCTGTCATTAATAACCTAAAGAAACATTAAGAATACATTTGTTCAGAATGTGTCAAACACTTTTCTGGGTTGCTCCTGTCCCACAGGCGTACAGAGGCAGCGTTAGACCGTTTGTCAACTTCAATGCCAAGCATGACGCTGAAGTCCTTCATAAAGCCATGAAAGGAATTGGTGAGTTTTCCCAAGATAATTCTTCACTGCTCGACCACTAATCTACTGTTGTGTACAATATTTGATATAGGAAAGATAAACACATCCCGAGTCCTTATGGAACGTTTTCTTTCAGGCGCTTACTATTACTTTGTTTGGAGCACAAATTGATGTGATGTGCCAGAGGCACGCCCGCTCTCTGGAGGGTCTGTTTCAATGCATCATCAAAGTTGTGGGAGTTGCATATAATATAGTCACTGCTCAACACCTTCAGTAGTCACTTCATCCCACAATAAAACTAGAGGTGGTCTTTTTGCATGGACCCCAGTGACAGTTGTGTCTTAATTATGTGATGTTAGTTATTGGAAAAGTACAGTAAAGTTTGTTTAAAAAATATAATGAGCAATAGTTTTGCCTTGCAATGTAATGCTTGTTGTGCTTCTTTCTAAATTCAGTATACCACTAAAACACCGTAATGCCACAGCTGTCAGTGAAGTTTAACCATTTGCTTTATTAACAGTGAGTGCAGTCCTCGGACACATAATAAATAATCATACTTTCCTAGTATTTCTGGTCTAATTAGAGGAGAACCTGAGTATGAGAAACTTTATAAATCAAAGTTCAGAGGCAAGATACCAAACCAGTCACCAAGGGTACTGCAAAAACGCTGCAGTAATGAGCGCTCACTGTACAAACACTGTGGAGATGAGCAAAATAATCATCGGAGATGGTTATAGAAGTGTGATTTTTTTTTTTCCTCTGTGTGTTTGGTATTGATACAGCCAATACGTATTTAGGTGTTAAAGTAAAACTACAGATTTTAAGTGACAAGTAAAATAAATGTCTAAAGAAAACATTTTTGTCTTCACAAAATAGCTTTAAGGCAGTATATATCTTATTTCATTATTACTTCATATAGATAAATAGATGTTGTCAAGCTTAATAGATACGGGCAGAGGTTTATTTGCAACATTGAAAACAAGTTAATAAAATGATTTTAAGGTGATTTTATGCCTGGTGGCTCTCATCGCTCTTGCTGTCCACACTGACTGTGAAAAATCCCGCCTAATGAAATCTAGAGTGCATAAGAGTGCATTTTGGAAATAGGACTATGGATTTTGTCACTAACATTAGAATCACAGGACAGGAAGAAGAATTACTAAAAGCTGTATAGTAGATATGAGTGTATCAGCGTATATGTGAGATGAATAACTATCATTTTTACAGTATAAGCATCTTGTGTTATGTAGTTATTGTCTTGGTTGAATTATGGTCAATTTCATTTGGATTACTTTTAAACTGATTGACCTTTGACCTTGCTTTCATTTCTCAAGTGATTGTATTTTAATTACAGAGGTACAAAATTGGACAATGCAGTCAACACATCCTTCAGCAGTCAGTGTAAATCAGTGAGTCGGTGTACTACAAAGATGTAACAGTTGTGACTGATGCTAAATCTTACTGGCATCTTTTGCCATACTCTTCCTTTCTGTCAGTTTAGTACTCACAGAATTAAAGTAATTAGGAACTATCTGCTTAGCGATTTAATGTAAAACTTAAAAAAAATAAAAGAGCGGAGAACAATCATGACCCGACTAGACCTCTATGCAGAGCTGCCACCAGCAGGGCTTGCTGTTACTATTACCTCGGACTAATTTAATATTTTGGGCTCTTAGTGAAAACACCACACGCTGCTCATCAGCCTGTTTGTATCTCTGAGTCTGTTTCTCTGAGGTGCTGGTAACGTTCAAGAGCTACTGATTGTTGTTAGACCACTGGCTTTGCCAGTCCCTTTGAGTCTTTATATAGAGTACAATTTTTCAATTTTTGTCAGGCGGAGAGCGTGCCTCTTCTAGACGGTGGGTGCAAAAAGAATAATGGTAAATGGACTGCACTCATATAACGCATTTCTACCTTACCTGGACAAAGCACTTTACATCTGGGCCAGCTGCTTTCTGCACACTGATGTTCATCTATTCACACACACACTCACACAAAGCTGCCATGCAAGGTGCTGGCCTGGCCACTGGGAGCAACATAGGGTCAGTGTCTTGCCCAAGGACACTTCATATGTGGCTTTGTTTACTACAGTGAGAGAGTTTGTCCTAATTTTTGTCTTTATCCACCTTGTGGAGGTGTTTCTGTGAAGCCTGCAGAGTGCTTTCCTATATGTTATATGATGCTGATTTAATTTCTGGTTCAGGAACGGATGAAGATACGGTCCTCATGCTTCTGACAGCACGCAGCAATAGTCAACGCCAGGAAATTAAGGCAGCATACAAAAAGGCCTATGGAAAGGTAAGGTGAGCCACAGAGACTGAAATAGAGCTGATGACAGCTGGCAGTCACACACACAGATGGTTAACAATCAGCCACTGTGTCCTTGTCACTGACCAACATGATCCAAATACACCCAGGGGGCAGAAGTATCTGCTGAAGTGTACTTGCTCAAATTGGTCGGTTTTTACACCATTCTTTTATTATTTTACTTTCCTTAAAGGATAAGGTTGGCAGGATTCTTTGTTACTGTCAGTATGAAATGACTTAAACCACTTATTTGTTAATCTGACTGTAATTTATGACCTTCATCCCCAGCCTTCCTGTGGCCTCCCAGGTCACAAATACATGAATTCATTTGTAATCTAAAAAAGTATGAAACAGGAGTTTCTGGCAAACACAGTTTAAAAAATGAGTTAATTATGCTCTGCTTGGATCTATTTTCAGCCATTGATTGATGCACACTGGTCCTCTAGTGCAGCCTGGGAGGCCAAGAAATATCATGGCTTATTTGCTCTAACAAACACCGTTAAAAGTAGAAGCAACTAGAAATTTATGTACAGTTTCTGGGCCAGTTTTGTTATGTGGGTGTGTGTTTTGCAGCAGTCATGTCATATTGAAATTGTCTTCAGTATTCAGTATTGTGCTGAAGTACAGTTTTAAGTTTTATATTTTACTTCCGTGTTCCCATTTTGTGTTACTTTAAATCTTGACTCCACTACATTTACTATTATACGTTTTGCTCCAGTATACTGACTTAACAGTTATATATTTGCAGCTACCTTTCAGATTAAGATTTTATACACAAAACACATAACAAGTTTATAAAATACAATGTATTGTTAAAGACTATACCAGTGGTTCTCGATCTTTCTGGCTTGTGAAACCTTGTACATTGCTACATCAGTATTTAAAACCTCATAATGGCATGTGTAATAGTATATCCTTGACATACAGTACACCATTTCTCTGCTCATGAATATTTTTACTTTAAACATTGGATGTACAGTTTCCTGATATTCCTTCAGTGCTTCTGCTTAAGCTTGATGTTTGCTTGTAATTTACTATTTTTATATTGTATATCACAAATTTTACTTGAGTAAAGGATCAGAGTACTTTTTCCACCAGTGGTTGACTCAGCTACATCAACGTTTAAAGGTGAAATGTCATTCAGCCATCAGAGTTTTTCTGTCATCAATCAAAGAGCAAGAGTTGAAATTTTGTTCCAGCATTCAGCAGTCATACAGGGAAATATTACAGCAGTGGCAAGACGCCCAGTTTCCCATAGCCTCTGTGACCCAGAGTGCAATGCAATGAGCTAAAAAAGATACAGAATGGGCCTAGTCCTACTGTTCTATCACACTCTCTACTTTATGAACACCTGTGGATTTAAAGCAGCAAGATCATTTGAATTTTCTTCCTGTGGAGGTTTTTGAAAAGCATTTTAGCAAATGTAATTGCTCCTTGAGGTACAGACAGATGAAGCCGCTTGAGAGGTAAAAGGTACATCAGAAAATCATAATATTGCCCCCTGAATATCTCTGAATATTGTAGTGTTTTATCAAAATGAGCCACCGGATGACACTGTTTGCGTTTCACTATGCCAGTGATTTGTTTTAGTACATGTTATAAAATGTAATGATTGCAAAAGATACTGCCTTGGTTATTCCCATATCTGGAACAAGAACAGGTGATAGAAAGTTAAGACAAACTTTGGATACAATACACTGAGGAAACTTTGTTAAAACACATTTGAGGACCTGAACTAGATGTTTGCTTTTAGCTGTTGTCCTTTTTTCCTGCCACTCTGCCGATATACTGTTTTGACTACATTTATAATTGCTCATGAATTTAAAGGTTATAGGTTTGAACTGACTCAACAACACAAATCTATCCTTGATTACTGAGTTAACATGTTCTCTTTCATTAATGTTTCAGAATTTTAATAATGTAAAAGTGAAGTTCTGTACGCATTCAATTATTATTGTTTTTGTTCCTCTTGTCATTAACCATTATTTGACCTCAGGACTTGGTCAGCACACTGAAATCAGAGCTCAGCGGACTGTTTGAGAGTCTGATTGTGGCCTTGATGACCCCACCCATCTCTTACGATGCCTCCCAACTGCACAATGCTCTCAAGGTGATGAATGAGCGTTTCCCGATGCTCCACTTAACCCAATATTGCCTTTATAATATGCATAGTTGAAACTCCCGTTAAAGATATTGGCTTTTTAAAATGTTTTTGCACAGATGTTCCTAAATCTGATGCAGAAACACTCAGCTGAGCACCAGACCTTTCTGATGGTAGACATTTCATCTTGTCACAGCAGTAAAACATGTAAACAATAAGCCAGCATGCACAATATCAGGGCCCTGGTATTGGCACACATAAATGGAACTCGACTATTATTGATGCTAATAGTTAAAGCTGTGAAGGACAAGTCTAAATGTCTGCCACGAGAAAGGCCCATTTCAGGCTGATTTGCCATTGAAAAGATGTATAACCATCTAGAGTAGCATTAATAAAAGTGCACCTTTCCCTGCTAGCCTTTCCTCCATTTGCCTATGGCCCAGTTAGATTTTCTGTCATCAGTTATAGCACATTCAGAGGTAAGTATCCACTTTACAGGATGACTCAATCTCTATGAATTGTTGTATTTTACAATAACAATGAAGCAGGTCACTACATTAATGGGACAGAGTTCTCTTACAGTGACCGACCCTCAGTGAAATAGCAGCTACTTCTGCACCTCCACAGACCTGTTTAACCTCTTATTCGTTCATTGTTTTAGCCTTACAGCAGTTTCACCTCTGGTATAAAGCAGCACAGGCAGCAGTTTTGAGCAACATTTTAAAAATACAACACACTTGCTATCTGTCCAGAAACAAATGACAGTAATAGTTAGCAACTAGCCAGTGGAGCAGCTGAAGAGCTAGATGTTTTTCTCAAAACAACAAAACATGGATATTTGGTTGAAACATGTCTCCAGATGAATGCTAATATCTGCCAGATGTGTTGTTTACTAATGCAGCAGTCAGAACAACATCATAAGTTGATAATATTTCAGGCTGGGAGCTTGTCAGCTTCCTGTAAAGCTCTTTTGTTCCCAGGAAGGCAATACAATGAAATACACAAGGACTTCATGATTTTGGAAAAAAAAAAGAAAATGATTGTTTTGTTAGTCTTCAATTAATTTGATCAACAAAAGGCCTCACTCTTTGTATTATATTTTGTCACATGGATGAAGCTGTTCATGGTTGTGATAGCAATTTTCATTGTTACACTATTATATAATTCATTATGATTGCTTGAGTTAGGATCCGCATTGAATTCTTCCTTTATGAACTACCACAAAAAGTTATTTTAAAAAAGGAATTATCATGCCGCCCAAGCACTCAGTGCAGTAGATGTGCTCCATAATGAAAATCATCTGTCAGATGATGTTGCTTTCATAAAGGCTAATCTTGTTTTTATTTAAATATCTGCTTCAGATTTATTTAAGGCCAAGCAGTGTGATAGAGTGAAAATATGTTAAGTAAACTCCTGGATGCTCTTATACGTTACATATACAGCCGTCTTTGTCTCAGTATTCTAGAACCACACTTCTGTTTGCATTACTAGTGCAAATGAAATGTTTGGTCAAATGTAGGCCAAGATTTAGGACTTGGTCCTTACTTTCAAACCAAGTGCTCCTTTTGTTCAGTATGTCAGGCATTTTAACAATAAGCTTAATTACAGCATAGTTCTTCAGTATGTTAGACACACAAACTGTACTTCTTATTCTTTCAACTGTTTTTTTATCATTTTCAGTTTTTTAATTTTTATTTTATTTTGTCCTTAATCATGAACATTGCTCTTTACAAAACAAGATATAGAATAAAATATTTAAAATATATATTATTTCTATGAGAACTGCCACAGAAATCCATGTTGCCTCATACAGATTTCATCCACATATCGTGTTTGGTCCACAGGGTGCCGGGACTAATGACACAGTGCTGATTGAGATCCTGGCCTCCAGGACTGGTGAACAGATTCAAGAAATTGCCAAAGTATACAAGAAAGGTGATTTTCTCACCGGTGAACGTGGGAGACAAAAGCAGATAAGCATGTTTACATTGCCTGTTTAACTATCTCTAGAATGATTCATAGATTTGACAACTTCACTGGCAAGACATCATTTATCTGTGCTTTCCAAAACTGTTACAAATCACTGCAGAATAATGAAACTGCTCTCTGATTTGACACTAGTATGGCTAAGGCTTTGTCAGTAGGTTTACAGACAAAAATAGCTCTGTTAGGAACAGAAAAGACTCTTGATATGGGTTTAAACTACATGGGTGGGAGTAAGGGACTTTTATTGTCATAGTTAAAATCACCACATGGAAATAACCATGTGGAAATGATCACAGCTTAGGAAATAATCACAGGGATGGTTGAGAGAAACCAATGCTGAACACTGAAAGGAATCAGGAACTGAACAGAGGTTTCCCATGTTGAAGTCTGATGTTCTTTGTCTATAACAATGTCACGTATTTCCTCCTTTGCCCCAAATAGACACTAACGCCTACAGCCTCTAGAGGGCTTTGTCACTTGTGCATAAACAAGTCTCACTTTGGGGCATTTGCTTCAGCTCCTGTTGCTGATGATTTCTCTTTGTCTATAACAATGTCACGTATTTATTCCTTTGCCCCAGATAGACAGTAACGCCTACAGCCTCTAGAGGGCTTTGTCACTTGTGATAAACAAGTCTCACTTTGGGGCTTCAGCTCCTGTTGCCGATGATTTTCCCTCTGACAAGATAGTAACTTCAATAGGTTTGTAGAATTTCTGGAGTGCTTTAATGAGTCAAAGCTAAGATATAGTACCACTGAGCCTCTGTGCAGTTACACTGATTTGTCGATAAACCTATAGCATAATCTGACTGAAAATTGTCTCATCTTTTGTCACACTTGAGACTTTTGCACAAAGTTCAATTCAAGTAGCTCTGCAACAAGAAGCCAGCAGTAAATAGGAGTTGTCCTGGTGGAGCCTAAAACACAGACGATAGGGGCTAGGGAGCTATTAACATGTTGGGTCTCCTCATTTCCTGTCACATAAGAGTGCACAAAGTGACATAACCATGATATATGGACCATATTATATGACAGGGGACTCACTATGGATCACTGCATTCTTAATTAACAATGAATCAAATCTCAACATGTAATGTGACAGTGTACTTATATTAACAAATTCAGAGAGAGTGATCACACAGCTCTGCAGCTCTACAGAGCTTCTCAGCCTCTCATTAGCTCACTGATTTTGCCTTACAGCACACTGACTATATGGAGCAGTGTTGCCACTGTAATATTCTTTTTGACATGTTTGAAACCTATTTGTTGTGATAGGGCTTCCACCCACAGTATTGTTTTATAGTACAGAGAAAAACTGAAGATTACAGTGGCTGTAAGAATTAACTAACTGTTTCTTATTTCATATAGAATCAATAAAGAATAAAATCTGTAGCAGGCCTCTGTTCCCTAGAGCAGAAGATGAAGTGGAGTTTTGTCTTGAGCACAACCTTTATTTACAGTATGCAGTATTTTGCTGCACCCTTTGGTTTCTCATTATACTATGTTAGAGTTCTGGCATCAGAATAAGGAATACGCTTCATCTCACTAACACCTGACACACTTAAGCCCTTATCAGACACCTACTGGAACCCTGAAATTCTCTAGACATCATGTCAGAACCAAATGTCCGAGTCAGCTGACCCAGACCTTGAGCGAGTCTGGAGTATTCACATGGAGATAGTGAGTGTGTTGATGATGCTTTATCATGTGACCGGCACACAGCCAGAAGAATACAAACATCCAGTGGTGAAGGAAAATGATCATTTACAATGAAGACACCAAAAGTATCTAACTGGAGACATGAGGTTATTTTAGAACTTCTGTCCTTAAGAGCCGGTGCCAGAACCATTAGACAAATTTAAGGAATGGCAAGAGACTTGGTTGTTTATGACCAAATAAACTGGCTACCTGACCGCGTCATGTCCTGCCTTCTATGTACATGTTCTACCCAGGCACGCCCTCCTACGCATAAACCAAACAGAGTACGTCCAGGTGAGAACACATTTGGCACGGACTATCTCCTGTTGTGTGCTACATGTGTTAAAGGGCAACTCTCAAAGTCTGGGCTTGATTCTGTGGACATAGTCGGAGTTCATGTGTGAAAACGACTACAAAGCTGTCACTACAATAATGTGGTATTCCAGCAAACCACAAAGGTAATGATGTGACAACAAAGGCTAGAGGACCAAAGACAATAAGGACACTTTATTTGATCTGAACAGAGGACAGCCCACTGGGCCGATGGCAGCCATTAGTGATTGTTATTATAAGAGTGAGTAATCTTCTGCCCCTTGTCTCTTCTTTCCTCCAGAGTTTGGCGGCAAGCTGGAGAAAGATATCTGCAGCGATACCTCAGGACACTATCAGAGGCTACTGGTGATCCTGCTACAGGTAATGATAGAGGCTGCTGCATTTCCTTTCCTGATAATGACACCCTCTGGCGATGCCATTAGAAAGTCATGACAGGTTTAGGTGTGGTTTGTGGATGATAGGACAATACACACAACTACATTTTGGTCTACAGACCGGAATTGTTCTGGAACACTAAACATACGGTGTAAGCTTGAGGTATCATCTGGCTTCAGAGAAGCTCTAAGCTCATCATGTTTCCATACACACTGACTTGTGTTTGCTTTTTGTTTGTCACCCTGTCTTTCTGTCTCTCTTTCTTCATTTGTCTGGCTGTGAAGGGGAGCAGGGAAGAAGAGGTGGATGAGGCAAATATTGAGAAAGATGCTAAGGTTAGTGACAAGAACCTGGGGACAAAAAAGGCAAGGTCTGGCTTTTGCATTAAATATCCTTTGTGATTGTTAACTGCCAGCAATTTCAAGAAACAACCGACCAGGGTTCTGTCATCAACGAGGCTCAATAGACATCTTGTCACAAAGAAGATGTTGCTAGTTATCCATTCACCCCTTTAACAACATTTCTGCAAAACACCATATTATGTCCTCTGTCAGCATTTTTAAAATTCTTGCTTTATCCGGTATTTGCACATGTTGTTCCATGTTACAGAGGTACTGGTAGACAGATTTTGTTACCCTTAGAAAGAGCCAGGATAGCTGTTTCTCTGTTTGTAGTAAGTATGCTAAGCTAAGCTGCTGGCTATAGCCTGTAACTCCCCATCAGAGAGCAAATAAGCACATTTCTCAAAATGTCAAGCTGCTTTTTAAGGATAGGGAAAGGTTGTGATTACAGTTAATGAAAGCAGGTCTGTGACCAGAGGTGAACCTTCACCCTGCACCACTTCTTAAACTGCTACTGAACAGTATCATTAGACATATGCAGTGAGATGCAGAATCAATCAATACCTATGATATGTCATTTCTAGACACACTTAAGAACATAAAATATGATGTCTTTAATATGCATTATGAGGTAAACTTTAAAATTATAACCTGTCTTCCTGCTTTGTGCCATAAAACAGTCAAGCGTTTTTCTCCTCTTATCTATTTTGATCTGTTGGCTCAATTTTAAAAAAGACACTTTGAAACTGCTGCGGTTTGATTTTCAGTAACTACATTAAAATTTTGAAATAAATGTGATAACAGTTAAATAATGTTAAAATTACACACAGAGGATTTAAAAATGCTATGCAACAGGCAGATGACCGCTGCCGTGCACGGCTGGGTTATTTTGATCCAACATGTTGAGGATTTGCTCATGTTTCTGAGCTGCTCTCTAAAGTGCAGTGAAGCTGAAGGCCAAGAAAGCTTTGGAGCGAGTCTTCTCTGAAGAACAGCCAATACTATAAATTCACTGAAGCATGTTAACCTTCGTTTGTGTCTTATAAAGCGTTCCTCATTACTGATACTGAGCTGTGATTTGAGATCCAGCAGATAAACATTCAGTGATCCTACATGTGTCTAAATTTACGAGTCCTGCTTGCACCCACACTCCTGTATTGCTAAACTGTTGTGTGATTAAATGAGCAGAAATAAACCATGTATAATTCATTAAAAATAAATAAGTTCTATATGTGCACATACAGTTATTTTGTTGTAATGAATAGGTTAAGAAAAAAAACCATAAAAACTGTTCCATGTTGTTTTGGCACAGTACAAGGTCCTACACCTGTGCTGCTATTTCTGCTCAGCACCAGGATGCTGTGTGTGCATGTACAAGTGTGTATCTGTTGTTATAGGACTTGTATGCTGCTGGCGAGGGCAAGGTTGGCACAGATGAGGAAAAATTCATCAATATTCTTGGCAACAGGAGTGTAGAGCATCTCCGGAAAGGTGAGTCTGTGAGAGGTTGTTTGTGCCAGTGTCTGTAAATGCTGTGATGTTTGCACACTGACAAAAACACTGAAATAATATGAACAGCAAAACAAAACAGTAGTCTGCTGTAAACTCACACTCTCACATAGTGCAAGCCTAGCAACAAAAAAAGTAGAGAGGAACAGACTTTGTTGAGTTTATTAAAGTGTGATAAACAGCAGCCAGAAAGTGAGTGGCAGTCCTGAGGGCCAAAATTACTCACTGTTAAGAGAGGTTAGAGCTGGTTATTCAGTCAGATGCCTGACTGATCACACAACTCACTGAAAAATTAAAGGGAACAGACTCACAAAATGTGTGCAAGCACATTATATCAGCAGTCATGGTTTGTGAGAGCTGGAGGTAGGGCCGGGGGGAGGCGGCTGCAGGTGCAGTGGGATTGTAATATTCCTCAGCAATTTATAATGGTAATTTTTGAATAGTTGACCTACAATGTGCCACCCTTGCCAACGTGCCGCTCTGGACAACTGCTTAGTTCACCTGTATGGATGCGCCAGCATTTGTTTTATATGAGAATTAGCCACTGGAACAAGCCCCATTCACACATTTGTTTTTATTCATAATGTGTGATATGTGTGTATAAACACATCTGTATACTCCTGGCCAAGATGTGGCAGCAATATTCTGTAGTAGACAGAATTTAGAAACCTTAATTAATTTTCAGGGTGAATTTGCATTTGGTTTTTACACTGTTTATTAGGTGTCTGATCATCAAGTGGTGATCATAAAGTATAATGTGGTGGTTGGGTGATAGAGGTCTGCCTTTGAAATGGATAAACCAGTCAAACCCACACACTTGTACAGAATGCAGTGTTACTGTAGTTTTTTATAACATGTTGAGCTGCCCTGAAGTCACAGTCCAACCTTTTTTAATACCAGAGAGGGTTTATTCCACTCATGAGACAACATCAAAATGTCACCGTGTGGTTGTTCTGTTCTCGACAGTGTTTGATGTCTACAAGAAGCTGTCGGGCTCTGACATAGAGGCCAGCATTAAGGGCGAGACCGCTGGGAATTTGGAAGACTTAATGCTGGCTATTGGTAAGACCTGTGATTTATCAAGCTGATGCTTGGCTGATCATAAACAGGAGACAAAGAGATGCAATATGATTTTTTTTCAATATGCATGTTAGATACAGCAAAAGATAATGTGACAGTAGAAATCACTGTCAGCATAACATCATATCAACATGACAGAGAACTTTATCATTGCCATGAGTTGTTTTTTCCTCCACAGTGAAATGTGCCAGGAGCATCCCAGGTTTTTTTGCTGAATCCCTGTATAAATCAATGAGGGTAGGTATTACTGTCCATAATTCTTAACCCTATTTTGTTTGTTTCTGAACACTGTATCTTTTCACATTTGCAGTATTTCTGTTGGTTTTTTTTCCAAAACAAAACAGAATATAAATGCACAAAACATAAATACTCTTGTAAATTAATGTTTAAATTAAAAAAACACAAGATACAGTATTGTATTACTTTCTTCAGACAGTGCTTTCTCCAAAACCTGATTGTCTGGGTTTCCCATAAATTATATTTTGGAATTAAACCCTTCACTCATCCCACACAGCACCACAGCACTACGCTGTATGAAATGCTGTACTGCCCCAACTTGAGTCCCTGGATGTTAGGAAACAATAAAACTATAGCACCTGAAAGAAAATTTAAATAAAATATGTCAAGAATATTTAAAGGGGTTTGTTGACTACAGCTTGATGCAGAGATAGTTTTACAGATTGTTAACTCCAACTGATGAATTTGTTTTTAGCGTGCTGGAACTGATGACGACACCCTGATGAGGATAATGGTGTCAAGGAGCGAGGTGGACATGTTGGACATCAGGGCCATCTTCAAGAAGAAATACGGGGCGTCTCTTTACACCACCATCCAGGTACTGCTCACTGAAACACAACGCTGTTATTACTCTGTATGTCTGCATATTCACTGTGTATGGTCTAATTCATCAGACATGATGCAATTCTCTTACATTTCTCCTCCTTATATTCTGCTAACGTACTCCTCCATCACCCTGCATGCTTTTAAAGTGCCAGCTGGGTGCACTGTGGTTATGTAGCTTATACAGCATTCATGTCAGTGCAGTGATGGAGTGGAGAATGGTGATTTACTTAAAATGCCATTTCAGCATGATGTGACTGCTTCTCTGCTTTTCACTGCTGAAGCTGAATTAATCTATTCTCCTGGGAGCAGATGTTCCTACAGTGAAGAGTCACTGCCATCGTCCAATTATAATTCATTGTCATATTTTTCCTAGTGACACCATTTGATACCACTTCTGTTACTTTTCATCATAATGGGCCATGCTCAGAGAGGACGTTTTGACTTGTTAAATTTATTTATACATAGTTATATTAATAATAGCTGCAGTTCATTTGGGTATTGCATCTATATGGTCCTGTTACTTTGCATGATGGTTCACTGTTATGACAATTTGTCACTATGAAATGGACTGAACCCATTATTAATGTGACCTGTTTCTGCTATAATAGCATCATATGCATGTCATATGGGAAATAACAAAATGACCAAATTGCAGCTTAGAGCTTAAGTAGCATTCATGTCAACATTCAAGTTGTTGTTACATGTGGGAAATTGGATTTGTAATGATACGAAAGCACCTGGAAAGGCAAACCAATATGGACACCACATATTAGTCAAAGTTCTCCAATGTAGCTAAATCTAATTCAAACCTTTTACATGATTAACTCTGCAGTCTTGCTGCCTTGAGTTGGCATTTACACTCACAAGTCATAGACATGGGAAATATTCTCGCCCATTCCATCCTTCCTACATGACATGAACATGGCCTGAGGTAAAATATAAGCTGCGAAAAGGTCTGTTTTCATGAATTGCTGCTTCCTCACTTTTCTACCATATATCTCTGTCGGCTCTTAGCAGCCTCTGTAAATTACACACTTAACATGGCAAGCTAAAAAAAGAAACCACTCTTTTTGTTCTTTGCATACTTCACCTTACATTGTTCAGACTGTAATTAGGAGCTGCTGATCATTTCTCCCCTTGTGATTCAGTTGTAAGTCTGACATACGCGTGGAGAACATCTGTGATATGTCTCATGCTGCAGAAGGTGAAACAAACCACTGACAGTTATATTTAAATAACATCCATATTAACAGTTAATGAACATAATTTAAGACTAACTGTGCATTATTTGGTTTTGGTGTTAACAAAGTACAATCAGGCAGCGCAACAAAAGTGGCTTGTTCATTCAAATTCAGTTCATATTTAGATAACATTATTAATCCACCTAGGGGAAATTTGTTTGGAGCAGCTTGTTGCACAATAAATAATTTGATGTCAGTGGGACTGCAGATGAAAACTAGCCATCTGAATAAATCTAGACATTTATGATGATAACAGTGTTGATTCATGCAAATTGTTTCTGACACACAGTTGTCACTGGAAAAACATAACAGAAGAAAATGCAAATATGGCATTTTGAAATACAAAAGGTAACAATAAAATGGAAGTAGCTCAGATTTAGTAGAAAGAACAGGGGCAGTTTTGATATCAGAGCTGCGCTTACTGTGTGCAGTGAATAGAATTAGTGAGTAAACTGGGACTGAGTCTGATAGGACTGATAAAGCTACTGATTATGTGTATGCTGTTTTTGCAGGAGGACACAAATGGAGACTACCAGAAGGCTTTACTCTACCTCTGTGGTGGGAATGATTAATTCTGTTTTATATTGTGCTGAGCAGCGCTGAATGATGAGCCACTGTTGTCCTGCAGACAAAGCTGCACGTGAGGCTTATTGATCCAGACTTGTGGTTTATATCTGACTTTATCTTTATATTGATTGAGTTAATGTGAATTGCCTGCTTGTGCATGAACAGCAGTTGGCGTGCTGTTACTTAGCCTTTTAGTTTTTGTGTAATGTCAGACATAATTTAAACAGCAAAAAGCTCTAACTGTTATTAAACACTGCAATAAACAGTGTTTAAAAAATGTGTAGTTTTGAGTTTAACATACAGATTAATGTTATTTAAGCTTGAAGTGAAATATTGGATTCATTTGATATAAATGCTTTTGCTTCAGTCGTGTGGCCGACTTGGAACTTGTGCTCACAGCATGTGTTAACCTCTAGAGTCCCTGCGTCCTCATATGAGGACCGCACAGCTTGGGTTTCCAAAGCTCAGGACTCTAGAGGTTAAATGCACTTGGAAAATACAATACTGCTGTTGAATTATTAAACTCTACGTGTCGACGGTGTTCCCACTCTCATTAATTGCAAATGAATTGATCCGGACTTGAATTGCAGTGCAGCTGCAGGTGATTGATAAGTAATGGGACACTAGTGGACCATTGTTGGATATCAAGACATCAAGGCACCTGGTGTCAAGTAAACGGGGTCCCCTGACCAATAGACTGAAAATGAACCAGCAGGTGGCAGCAAAGGTCAAAGTGTCAGAGTGTTTTTCTTCACTGTTTTCTATTTTAAAAACTGAAGAAATGTCTCTACGAAGATTCATTCAGCTTGTAAATGGGAAGCAAAACAGTACTGATATTAAAGTAAGAGTTATGCTTGAACCCTTAAATTAACTGAGTTTGATTCACTGAAGTTGTTTTGTCCATGTAAAAATGCTAAATAGTTCCTGGTTCCAGCTTCTTAAATAACAATTTGCTGCTTTTCCCTTTTATTCATTTTAGTTTTCTTCAACTTTGCAATCACTAAGCTCTTATAGAGGCCCTTTTATTTCTCTCTTTTTTATTATTTATTATTATTATTATTATTGCATTTGGTAAATTTTTCTGACTATACTTACATACTTTAGTAGTATTTGCAATGTAGGACCTCTACTGGTAATAAAGTATTTTTTTTACAGTTTTTTTTATTTTTTTACTTTATCTACTTACTTTATTAACAATACTTACTCTGAATCCTACCCCAGCCACTGTAAAAAAAAACTGGTATCTTTGAAAAGTTTTAAATCAGAACAAGAATTTAAAATAAATGTTGAACATCATCAACAGAAGGAAGGGAATTACAAAATCAGTTTATTCAACCAAGCAGGTGCACAAAATTATTAAAAAATAAAGCTATGTCCTCGCAACAAGGGTGAATGTGTCTGTCCTTAGACACAGAGCGATATTTCATTAAATAAACCTAAGTGACGATTCCTGAGTGTCTCTGTGGTTCAGAAACCTTTCTTATGTTTCACATGCGTCTGTTTGCTGGAGCCTGGCCACTGTTTTCATGTATCTGCATGATTTTCCTTAGGGGCTGCTGCTTTCTGCACATATGAATTCATTCCATTGTGCTGCAAAATGAGTTTCTTACCTGTACTCTAGCCTTTCATGTAAGCAGACATGTTGCATTTCTGTTGCTGCCTGATCCAGTGTTATTTTGTTTCAGGTAAAATTTGGCTTGAGATAATAATGATGCTTTCTTAATACAGATATATTTGGCTTACAGAAGAGCCAGATCAGTGCTGATCGCTATTTTTAACAACCTTGTCAACAAATCCAGTGTATCACAATAACATGTGGCAGCTTAAAGAGAAGGAGTAGGAGAATGAAAATACCTTTATAATACCAAAATTAAATAACATATATTAGAAACGAAAGCCAGATATGACAAATATGTACAAAGCATACTGTATTAATAAAATGTATTTTAAATGCTTGTCCTTTTCAATGGACTTTCAAAACAATCCATATAACTGACCTGATCAGAAACATTTCAGTAAGTCTTTAATGTGGATGATGTCAAGACCAAGATTAGTGAACCTACTGAAAATATTCCTAAATTTAACCACTGAAAAAACAATAATAATACTAATCAAAATAATTTAATAATATATACAGTATAGAGATACACACATAAATGAATTCAGGGATATAGAGAATTGACATCTTAATATAAGCACATGGAGGCATATGGGACAAAAGATGTCCATGCAGTGCGAGATCTACAGTACAATACTATGCACGTATGATATTTGATTTTTGATATTTTGTCTCTGCTTGTCTCCATTTGCAGATTTTAACTGCAATATTGAAAATGACCATAATATGTCTGCGGCTCGGGTGGTTAATATAGCTATCAATAAGAATGACTCAGTGTTTGTGTTGCCCGGAGGGGGAGTACTCTGTCTGTCATAAATCACTGTGCACTGTGCTGGATGCTCATTTCCATAGCAGTAATGACATTTTTCCAGCTCAGTTAACATCTTGTTCACCAACTGCTTTCATTGGGTCTTAGCTCTAATTCAGCAGTTTTCTCATTTTTCTTTAAAAGAAGTGACTTTGTGTTGTTTGTCAGTTGTAGCTGTTGTGCTGCACCAAGAGACCTGGTGCGATATTTGTGGTAGTTCATTAATTCCCTACAGTTCTTTGTAATCTTAGGCAAAGCTGTTTATGAACCAAATGCCCATTCACATACATACAAAGGCTTTCATATGAGCGTGTGATCTGAACTGTATGCACACACTGTGCAAATCTTCTTTTTGTTTTCCCCACCTTCGATTTGACCAAAGCCCACTTCTCTCAACCAGTCAGGAGCCACAGGCAGTCAGGCCACCTGTAAGTACACACCATCCACAGTCCACCTCACAGGAAGGATAAGTTAGGATTGTGTTAGAGATGATGGGTTTTTGACCTGCGCTGCTTGCAGGAACTGAAAACCATGTGCCTCTAGAATGCCTACAGTAAATCACAGTGTTGCAAACACCACAAAACACACCCTTTGCTGGATGCTTTTATCCAGTGTGCTACAGCATCACAATGCATCAGGGACCCCTACTGTCTGTTCCCTGAGATGTGCAGTATACACACTAGAAAGCATCTCATTTAATGTCTTTTCATTTACAGTTGTTATTCTGAGAGAGCAGAGTTTCAGCAGTTTAAGGTTATGTAGGTGTTTTCTGAGAAAGGTCTGGGTGAAAACAAATATATTACTAGTCAAAGGAATTACTGTATGCTGGAATATTAAAATTACTTTAGTGCAATCTGATAAAATTTTGTGAGGTTTTTTGCATTTGAAATGACAGGTGGTTTCAACAGTCTTTGACAGTGCGTTTGGTTTTCAAGTTGTTTAAAACCAATGATTGCCTGTACAGAGTGTTTAAATAAACCCTGGCTGGGTGTTCTTGTGACATTTTAACATTTAAATTGGAGCAGTTATATTGATGCATTATGCATCACTTTTCACAAGCTGTGCAGCAGTCTTGTGTTTTCAGCAGCTGGTATTTTAAAGCCTTGCTTAAAGGGAAGGAAATTCCTGTCTCAATATTCTTCTGTATTGATTCACTACATTCCTGCACTTATTTTGTGACTGCCCTCTAATTTACTTTTTGTTCCAGTTGTGTTGCTTCAGTGTGCTTCATCTACCAATAAGAGATTTCCCACATGGCCCAAAATGCAACCTGCTGAGAAACTGAGCTGGATGGATTTCAGCTGTGGGAGATGAAGCTCAAGTCATCAAGAACAAAGAAAATCTGTTTGTCCTGAGGTCGCTCTGTGAGTGGAGAAAGTTGTGTTTGCTTCTTGACATGTAAATAGCAGAAATTTTCAGCGTAACCTCCATAAGAACAAGTACTAAATGTAAGACCATCATTTCCAAACAAACAGCTAGAGTATTCAGTGTGTGTTAAAAGATGGATTTCTGGTCAGTTTAGCTGCTGACTGTTGGTCCTGACACTTTTTTTTTTCTCTTCTGCCCATGTTTCAGCTTTGAGTTTACATCACAATAACAACATCAAATTATGAAATTCAGACAAGTACATCTCATCACATTCTTTTGTTTCTTCTTTCTTTCATTCATTCTTTCTTCCTTTCTTTCTGGACTGGATAGATTTTTTTCATGAGTTATTGCACATTACTGATCTTGGTTTGCATGCCACACTTAATGTTGCAAGCTGCAGTGAGCTTTTAATGGTTTCACATTGAGAAAGTGGATTCAGAGGTTTGTCAGTGCCAAAAAATGTAGGCTACAGCTTCTAAAATCACACTCCCTCTGGTTAAAATACTTTGTCAATACCCAACATGCCCAAACGTCTAATCTCCCAGCAAATAGTTTCAGCAAGAATGTGCACAAACATTTGGGAAAGATAACAGGGTTTCCACATTGTAGGGTAACATTTTTGAAAGATAACAGGGTTTCCACATTGTAGGGTAACACATGGTGCCCTTGTTTAATGTTAAATCAAAAAGATAATGTCATTTTTAATGAGCGTGATAGAAAACAAATGGCTTTAAATTAACTTAGGGGAAGAGGCATGTTCTAGAAACAGAAAAGAAACAATCTGCCTGTAGTGTAACTGTGTGTGTGTGTGTGTGTCTGTTTGTAAAAGAGAGCAGTTCAGCTTTCTTGTTAATGATTTGATTTTCTGCAATATTTTTTTAAAAACCACCACCCAGTAAATGTTTCTCAAAAGGACAAATTGTAGGAAAAAATGAAAGAATAGATAAAAAACCTATTGAGGGGTAAAACCCACTGTCAGCAATATGGAGATCTAGTTAAAAGGGGCACACTCTACATAAAATCAAACAGTTCTGTGAGAACAGATGAAAACTGTGATGAGCAAGTATTGATGCGAGTGTGCGCAGAGAGCTGAATTTATTTTACTTCTTTGAGTTGTTTTCTGCCTCAACAATCATAATCCTGCACCATAGTAAAAAAGAATGTGCAAAAACTTGACCAGGTGTCACCGCAGTACTCCTCTGCCAGCTGTTTGTTACTGTGTTGACAGGATTTGACAGCTCGGGGTGCAGGTGCTGGAGTAGTCTTCCTCTGTGCACTGTGGAGTCTGAAATGAGCATCTCTGTTAGCTCTTCTGCACACTGTCGCCCTGACCAGCACACTACTGTCCTGGCACAAAACCTTTTGCTTCTTTAGTGCTCTTGCAATTTGCTTCCAGTAAAGTTGGACGTTGGAAGCATAGTGGGGACAGGCAGCCGGTCTGGCAACATATTCACAGCTGAAGTGCCTGTCGCCCTTCTTGCAGGTAACACTGAGGATGAAGAGATCCTGACCTGTTGCAGCCCAAGTACAGGCAGACCTGTCTGTGGTGACAAGTTTCCCCTTAATAGGCTGAGCAGAGGCAGACTTAGGTTGTTTGTCTTTATGTTGTCCTCCGTCCACTCCTCGTCCTCTCCCTCCATCAGCTTTTTGACAGCTGCCCAACATCAGCTGGTGAGAAATACAAGCCAGAAACAGCAGGATGGTGATGTTGGTGGTGAAAGCCATGAAACCAACACAAATGAGCCTGCAGGAGGATAAGTTAGGATTTAGATAACAGACCTAAAATGCTCTCCATTTTCCTTCTTAAAAAGAATCATTACTGTATAATCCCCTTTTAGACCTACATTTTAGAAGGAAACAAGTAGTTTTACCTACAGGCATTTTATTGCACTATTGAGAAACAGTGACACTGAAAGAAATAGGCAAGACAATTTTTTTGTATAGTACCTTTTCAAGGCATTATGAAATGTTTTACATAAGACAGAAAATAATAAAAATCAAAGAAATGCAAGGCAATTTAAAATGTTACAAATGTGTGTTTAAAAGAATGAAATAATCAGTAAAAAGGAATCAATCAATAACAATAAACAATCCTAAACCTATTTTAGTAAAAGGAAATAGCAAATACATTTTTAATTCTTGATCTGAGACCGAGCCAAAAGTGGAACAAGTAGAGTAAAAGGTGACATACTGTAAATACTGTGTTAGCAGAGAAGGTAACAAGATACATTACTACAGTACAATACAACAAGTACAGACACAAGCCAAACACAGCTGCTGAATAAGTATTTTAAGTCCTGAATTCATTCATGTTAATGGACTAGAAGTAGAAAATAGAAAAGAAACACTCAGGAATGAAATACAAGTACCTCAAAATTGTACTTAAGTACACTACTTGAGAAATTGTACTTAGTTCCACTCCACTATGGACCATGATGAAATTTTAATGCACTGTAGGATTATTTTGTGCACATTGAGGTAATATACAGAAAGTACTGAAGTAAGAGAAGCAGCCACTAAACACACACATACACACACACACACACACACACTACAAGTCCTAATACTATACTAATACCAAACTGATTAGTAAGTATTGTCATTACAGAGTGACACCAGATGAAAGAGCTTTGACTTACCTGAAGTTGTCAGTCACTTCACTTTGCTGTTCACACACCTGAAAGCTAAGAGTCCGGTTCACCTGGAGCTGCAGTACACTGCTGCAGAACGGCTTCTCCCCTTCACACACACACTCATGCTGTGTTTTCATTCCTTGTGGGGACTTTACATTGACATACATTCATTTCCTGTAGACTTATCCTAACCTTAACCATAACCTTAAACCATGTTATCCCCTAAAATTCAGTGATTTCCATGGCTGGCCGAGTCACCACCATGTGAGAGTGTTAACAGGTTTTGGTCGCATAAATGTAAGTAATACAAAGGCATGCACACACACAGAGTGAAAGACTTACTTTATAAACTTTACTTATTTCAGAGTAGGTGCATTTTGAATCTATTCACTACATTACATGATTAATCAAAACTTGCAAAACTTTCTTAAAATGCTAGAAAAGGGGGTTTAAATAACCTCCTTCACAAGCTTCTGCATAATGAGATTGGGACACATTCTTACACATTCTCAACAAATTTAAAGTCAAAACAACAGAGTGTAAATGCTTTAAACATGTAGTCCTCCTTAAACTTATAACTGTAAACATCAGATTTATTTTGAGATATCAGGACCAAAAGTAATCGTGCTATCTGCCTGTAGAAGTCCCACCTGCTTTACGGTAAGTTAAATATAATGGACATTTATTTTAAACAGATACAAAAAGTATTTTCTTTTAAACTTTCACTGGACCATCTGTTAGTACAGTGTGCTAATGATGAAATGACTTGAAATATCTGCAAACGAACCAGATGTTCCTTCAAAATAAAATGACGAACTGGTTGAACAAGTCTCTGAAACTGAAGCACCAGTGACACCTAGAGCACAAATATATTATAGCAGGCAGTTTTTATAGCCTAAACACTGATATACTGTACAGTAATTATTTCATAATGATGATTATGATGATGGCTGTGATTATAATGCATTATGATACCATATAGCAGTATGTGATTTTAATGCTGATGCTTCTTTGAAATTGAATTTTGACATGATTTGATACATTTTTATTGGTATTTCTGTTAGGATGGATCAGTAAAATTGAGCTGACCAACTCAGTGAATTTAAGAATAATGCTTATTTACACAAACATTTTCACATTTATTACATAGCAAGAAAAAGAAATGTCTGTTTTAGACTCGGGGGATTAGTGTGGTCGTTGGGCCAGAGAGGGTCTGATTGTGTGGGGTTGGCAAGTCTCAAGTGGGTTTATTTTCAGGTCTAACTGGAGAATAAGGGCTCGCTGTGAGTGATGTGGGACTAAGAGTCAACACATCTGAAAGAAATTTAGCTCAAGGTGTAAAGAGCTGTTGGATCTCTGGAATGAGTTTTTTACCAAATATATGTTCATGCATCTATATTTAAAATTAAAAACAAATAATTCCTATAAAAAGCCACAGTTTTCTAATCAATCAATCATATGAGTGTTGTATTTATTCCATGAGCAATTTTGTCAGTTACAGTTTTTAGATGAAGGGTGATGTAAAACTCTTCAGCTGGAGTCACAATTTCAAAAATAACTATTTCAACAGCATTTGCTGTGTAACACTCTAAAGATCCACTGCTTCTGTTTTTAATTAGTTTTGGTCTCAGCACCACATAAGTATGTACTGTTTCATTTGTTTTGCAGCTGTCACATGACTTTCAGGGGTATATTTTCGTAATTTATATAATTAATTTCCTTTCCTGATTAATGCATGTTGGCTATGCTTATTGTTTTTATTTTTTGCAAATAATAAAAAGCTTAAATTTTTTATTAGATTAACCCAAAATATTTGCCAAAATAAAAGGCATGTTATCCAAAAAACCACTGCCTATACCATTTTCATAGAGCCTATCAGGACTTTTTAGGAAGGTTCTACAGTGCAACCAAGAAGAAAGACAGTGAAACTGCAACAAACTGAAGTCCAAAGTTTATTCACAATATGCACTCTCTTCACCACTACATAAAATGTTCCCCATGGCTCCATCAGTGTCTAACCTTGGAGCACATGCTATATGGACAGTTCAAAGTTACCTCTGCATTTGTCCTGACAACATCCATCCAGGGTTTGGATAAACTATATCTAATTTAAGCACTTAGTAAAATCACCATTTTCTCCCAGGATGGGTAACTCACATCAGACTCTATCAGACAGGAAAACCAGTGATAGCTGTGAGCACAGTGCTACTTTAGAAATGTCCATCTTAACAAGAAATGAGGTATTGCAATGAAATAAGCAAGCAAACTGCCAAATATTGGGATGCCAGTGGAGGCCATTTTAACTTTACATTGGATGATGGTTAAGGGACTTTATCTGGAAGTTATATAAAACAGAGAGGTTAGCTAGCTTACTAGCTCTAGCTACTAGCTAAATGGCCAAAATAAAAAAAAATAAATAAATCTGTGCCATAGGCTACTACATTCATGTTGTAAAGTCAATATAATGTTGGTTAAAAATAGGAGTTAAATAAAAGAGTAAAAACAGGAATTGGGAATGTCAGACTTATGTAAAACACATACTGTAAGTTAGCTAGTTTAGCTTTAGTAGGTAGCTGACTGGCCTTTTTGGGAGGCCAAAAACAAACAAACAAAATTCAATAGATATAAACCTATGATCTAATCTTTTTCACAAGATCTGTTGATTTGTAATGTCAATGTGAGGTAATGGACATAAAATGGGACTAATATTTGGAGTCAGTTGACACCTAGCATAAGATATTTCAAAATCCTTTAGCACTTTCACAATGTATCACACAAGACATTAAAATATAATGTTGTGTAATGCTACTTCACTTAATTTAGATATCTGATTTTTAGTAATGTAAATCCTTATATTTGGGCTAATGTTGTTGCATTTCCAGTGTTTTCAAACACAGCTAAAACCCAGCCTTTCAATGTTAAGATGGAAATCATTTTTTCACAATGTGCATCAACACCATCAGCTGTTTAAACCATAAAGTATTTAATCTTCTATTCTTTTCTATTTGACTGACAGTGCTCACTTGTCCCACGAATGGATTGTCTAATTGTTGATTAGATTCTGCTGACAGCAGCTGGAAATCTAGCATAGATGTGAGGTGGGTTGTATAACTGGATTGGCTTGCCCACTGCATTAGTCATTAGTCAGCATATTTCTCAGTCAACAGCCATAGACAAGCATTACAAATGGAAAACAATCTCTTGAATACATTAATTTACTCATTAGTTTTAATTGTATCCATAGCTACTGTGGGAGGTTAAAAAGTAGAAACAAATTAAGCACATAAATAAAAGCCCACTGACCTACAGTAAAGAATGATTTGGCTTGAGAAAGCATTTCTCCACTTTAAAAGAATTGCCACTACAAAAGCAATAAAGACTTAATTATAAACGTCATGTTAGTGAACTCAACAATGTTACTTGTGTTGTTCATTCATTGGCTGCGAAGAATCTAAAAGCTTTATGAAGTAAATGTTATGAAGTTATGCTCTGAGTTTATTGTGTTTATTTTAAGGGAAAATACACTCAAAATATTGAGACTTCTACAAAAACACTATTTAGTGATGTAGCTTATAATTTTCAAGCTCAGGCCTGGGCAACTCAGAAAGTCAAATAATAAATCTGAAAGGATTCAGGACATTAAAAAAGGCAAAAACATTGAAATATAACCAAAACATTGTCATCTATTTAGCTAATCTTTGTAGTGTTTCCTACACTGGATATGTTTTCTTTAGGACAAAAACTATTCAAATGAATCAAACTGTGCAAAAATAGGAATTGCAAAAAAAAAAAAAAAAAAGGATTGCAGCAACAAAGCCACAAACCTATTTTTGACTGTTTAGAGGCATTCTGGGGAATGTAGGAAATCAATACCTGACAAAATTAAAAGGTGGATGTTAACAAAAATGCTAAAAAAAAGTTATAGTAATGACTACATTTTAAACACTGTACCAAAAAATTTCATGCATTACAGACTGGTCATTTTTAACAGTGTAGCAGACGCTGCTGGTAGATTTTCCCTTTAAGAAGGAGCATGTCTGCCAAAACACAAGAGCGAAACATATTTTTGAAAGGCAGCCCGTTATATGCAATGTGCCTCAGATGAGCAAAGATGACAAATGTTCTTGTAATATTATAGACACTTTATAAGGTCATAGTAAATTGTCATGTGATAATCCCAGAAACCCACCTGGGAACAACCCATTTCTGTATTTTTACCACTTTGTTCAAATCATCCAGTTCTTAAGGTACAACACACCCACTGACTCTCATAGGGTGCCGTTAAAACATGTTGTATATCATGTTAATTTATATCTTTCCCCAAATGTTTATTGACAGACTGTTACACCTTAACATCAGCTGCCTCCATCCATCTGTCCATGATACATCCATTGTAAGGAGAAAGACACTTCCTCCAGCTGCTTGCCATGATGTTTGGATGACATGGCATCCAAACATCAGCCACTGTTTTCTTAAACACAAACAAGTACATTAAAACAAACAGGCATTACAGTTATTGTCATGTCCTGTCTCTGAATGTGGTTTCAGCTTGATTTTGTGTCTGAACAAAATGTAAACGCAGACACAGCAGTCCTTTGAAAAATGCAGAACAAGCCTGGCTCAGATTGATGCACAGGGAGAAGGGTTGGATGTGTTGCAGGGAGTTTGTTGGAGGATGCTGGGGAGCAGGTTGTGATCGGCCTGGCCGAGGAAGGCGAGTTGATCGTTAAAGATAAAAACACTTGTTGTTCTTCTGCTGTTGTAAGGAAACCAGCTTTCACTGAGTTTCATCTGGCCCAAGGGATTATGAAACATTCGTCTTAAAAACAGATGAGACAAAAAGTATGGCTTGGTTAGTGAACCCAAAATATACTCAACTTCACTTTGCTTTAGAAAATATTGCACTATTTTTGTACCATTCAGGACTTCTACTTTTCTTAGCCCTATTCCTAGTCATCATAGACTTGTTATGCTGCCAGAGACAAACTCATTTCTTCAGCTGACACTAAGTTCTTATACTGAGTCTTAAAACTAAACAAATGACAAACAGATCTGATGGAATAACCACATTGGATCTAGAAATTTCATGATCTTAATGATAGTAATTTTATCCCTCATTATTTAAATTTATTTTCATATATTTCTCCACTGGAGCAAAACTGCTTTGAAAATGCAGACGTGCTGCATACTATCATTTGGCAAACTTGTCCTACTTATTTAAAGGATAATGAAATGTTTAGACTCGGAACAAGAATAAGTTACCTGTTAAATGGGCATCTTAACAGTGTTCTATGTACAATTGTACCATGAACCATTGTATTTCTTACTGATTATATGGAAATAAAAACTTGTTGAACAAATCCAGCAGCAGATTAAACTAAATGCACAGAATCTAAAATTTAAAAATGTAAAAAGGAAAACTTACTATCGTGTATTTTAGTTCCAGTTTCCCAGGGCACTGGGAAGATAAATATAAAAAAAAGAAATTATATTTTTTAAATATTAAGTTAATATTTCAAAAACATGATGCATTTCTTTACTCTCTCTTTGGAATGGCCCAGGAGATTAATGCAAATCTAGCTGGGCTGTGAAATAAAAGAAAAAGCATGGCGCTTTTATAAAGATCCACAGAGAATCTTTCAAAGACTGCCTTGTGCTTTTTGCTACTAACAAAGGCACTATCGTTACAGTAGTCTCATAAAACCTGCCTCCACTGGGAATCATGCATTGTCCTCTAGATATCAAAAGTTGTATTTCAAAATGCTATACCTCATTTTGGAAGAAGTGTGAAATTATGTCATGCAAATTTCAATATATCAACCACAAGTGATCATGTAACTTAAAATGTTTTTCAAAAGTATGTCCTGAAATAGCAAATCTAATTTTAATCACATGACTTCTGTGTTGCCACTAATCATTTTTATCTGTCAACATGATGGTTAGAGCTGACGCAACCATGGCTACTGTGCAACAAATATTACATAGCATGTTATCATGCCAATCTGTGGATACTAGTGGGCACAACATGTATAAGTCATAAATGTCCCATAGTTCCATTTGAACCAAAACAAAAGAGCTAGGAAACAATAATCATTTTTTCACAGACACTGTGACTTGTCAAAATCAACAATAGGGACTAAGCGGTAGACAATAACAATGGTTTTGTTCTGTGTCCTGGAACCATGGCAGCACGACAGAGTTGGCATGAACAATACCAGGACCCTGAAAGTGAAGCAGCTAAATGTGCTGCAGACATTTTGACAGTGTTATTGTTTTTATTGGTGCTTTTTCTACTGTGACATGTACACTTGTAGTAGGTCATGTAGTTCTACCAGAAAAAGAACACCTCCAACCCAGCTATTTATTAGACAATGTGTAAAATCTTAGTTAAAGCACCTTTAATTTTGCTTGAAGCATTAAATTTGCATAATTGCTGTGAACAAAAACTATCACAGGGTGGACAAAGTACATCAAGAAGGCTAGTGGTATAAATATGCAATTGAGGAATAAAGCACATTATCATATATGGTGTTTTGCAAAATTATAATTTTAAATAAGGATTAATCCTAACTGACACGAATTGTCCCAATAAATGTAATGTAAATGAGGCAGTTTTAGAACAAAATTTTAATCTTAATAAGCATCAAAGTGAAAAAAAAGCTGAAAGGAGAACAAGTACATGAAGCTCTTCTCCTCTACAACACACTGACTAAGCAGTCAAGACATTTATGCTTTGTTAGTGATTCCAAAATTAGCAGTTCTCACCATATTGGTTTTCTTGCAAAGTCACTGTGAGCAGAAAAGCACTAAAACAAGCTGTAAAGAGGTGTTTGAAGGTTAGGTTAGAGTAGTGCATAAGAAATACCATGAAAAACAGAAGGAGAGATAGATGCAGCAGACACTAAGATGACGCTTGGGTCAGGGAAAGCTGAAGAACGGAAGGAAGGCATTAAATAAAACAGTGTTAGAGAAACAGAGGACTGACTTGTTGGTTTTCCAGTACCTTTCAGAAGCCAGAACGAGCTCCGGCTCTGTCACCAGTCGATGTGCCTCGGAGGAGCCGAGGCCCGTGGGAACCTGCTTATGGTGTCATAGGTAGGGATGCTACCAGCACAATGACACACACACATTGCACAACGTTAACAGCCATGGACAGAAAATTCAACTTTCATCATTTTGTTATGCCACTGAGCACTTCTCATCTTTTACTCAACAAAGAGGAGAAGGATGAATGGTTCACAAGGCAGAGAGCAGAACAGCTTTGTCAGCGTGCACTGATAGGGGCAATAAGTACGTTTCTGAAAGCACCAAATAATTAAATTATTATACTGTGTATGAGAAAAGTTAAGTGTCAGTGTTTCAATACTGTAGCTGCTGGTAAAGGTCAACAGAGATCATACAACAGATTACTCAGTGCCCCTTTAAAATAGTAGTTTTTGGACTGTGATTTGTAGGTTTCATTCCAAAATCTTGTATCCATTTGAAGTTATGCATCTCTAGTTCAAAATGTAGTTGGTTCCTCTAGAGCTGATATACAGGATACATGTAGGAGCCAGATGGTCTTGTCAATAATTTCACTGTTTTGTTCTCTGCTTGTACCTTCTGCTTCATTGGTTGGTCGTCCAAATGCATCCACATCCAAATGCAACTTAAATCTATATAACATGCAGTTAGAGGTTTCATTAGATTAAGGAGAAAATCAAAGGAGCAGCATTTTCAGCATAACACCAAAGCTTGACATGCTTGCCTCTCTCTAAACAAAATGATCAGGTGTACATTCATCGGACTTTGGTCGACTCTAAACGAGAGGAAACAGGAAGATTTTTCACATCACGCAAACATCCAAGTGCGCACACAGAGCATGCACTAGGTTAGTATTATGGTAGATTCCCAAAAACCACACAACAGAACATCTGGCAACAAGACAGAGAAATATTATGGTATTGAAATGGCACAGATAGTGCAAAAATACACTTACTTGCTCAGTCATTCTGACAAATTTGCTTGTGTCATGCTCAACAATTTGAACAGTTTTTTGGAATCAACTCCCTCGAAGCCATGCACTGAGTGTGGCCAAGTCATTTATGCTTGTGAAAAAAACCTCACTACTGCACGCATGCCTCCACTCCCCATCACATGCAGTCAACAGGATTAATATATCATTTACCTTGTCAGCATAGGATTTGGGATACCTTGTGAGCTCTCACTATGATAACCATTATTACCAATTTCCATACTGAAAACAAAATATTTTATAAAAAAAAAAAATGAAAAATGAAAAATGTAAAGTGAGAGACATGGCATGCTGATCAAACTTGTAGAGTAAAAATGCTTTCTTTGTGAGTAGCCAAACTTTACTAGAATGTTAGGAGATAAACATTTTTGAGTAGAAACCATAGTGTTTTATTTTCACTATAACTTACAAAACATGTAAGGTAATGATTGCAAGAGCCCTTCGTGAAAGTTAAGGGTCACTTTTCAAAGGTAGCACATCACAAGAAGCCACATCATCCACCCATAAGAGCAAGTCCAAGCTTAAAAACGTAAACCAGCACCAAGAATTTAGTAAACAGTTCTATGTACAAGATCCAGAGAAAAGCAGAGTGATATAAGTGGAAAAGGAGAGGAAGGTGGGAAAAAATCTTACGTTTTCATGGGAATTGTTTCAATGCTATAAAGATACGCAAACACACACACAAGAGAAAAACAAAATAAAAATGTTATTGAAATATTCAGAAATAGAAATGCACCAGACAGCTGCCTGTGATCCAGTACAGATCACATGGCAAGAGATGCCACTGACTGGGGCATTATCTTGTATTTGTTTAAAGCCATAACAAAGTCAGTCCACAGAGGTTGAAAATAAAGGTCTGTGAAGAAGAAATACAACAGCTATATGACAAATGCATCAATGATTCTTTGTAAAGTGCCAAGTGCGCGACAGAGAGGAATGTAACTGAAAAAACAAAGGATGTGGAAGATGGAAATAGTAGAAATGGTTATCACAACGTAAAATGCCAAGTCCCAGAAACAGAGGAACTAGAAGGAAGAGAAGAGGGAGGAAAAAATAAATCAGCAATACACCAGTAGAGCTACTGTGACAAAACAAAAACCCCAAAGAGATTTTCTTCTTGTGTTGAATCTAAAAGGCTAAATTTACTTAGAGTAGCTAACTCATATTCTTAAAAAAAACTAATTTTTTTAAGTGACAAAGTTTGCAAACTACAAACTAGAGAAAAGAGGAAACTCCATCTTATGATTTGCAGTGAGCAGGAGAAGAAAAAGAAGTTGATCCAAAAGAAGGATGTCCTGCAACCATGTACATTGAATAAAAATATCGGTTGTACAAACTATTGTATATTTATTGGCCAGTGAATGAGTAGGTATCCAATCATAACTTATTCTGTAAGGTGTAAATACCAAAAATACAGTCAATATTTGTTCCATATGTTTTTGAAAAAGAAGCGGCAGAATAACAATGACTCACTCATCGTAAACATCCTCTGTATCCATCCTGCGGTAGTACTTGGCTAACTTCACTGCAAGGATGATGCTTGGGAGCAGGAAGATGGTGCTGCAGCCCAGGCCCATCCAGAATGTATTCTGAAGAAAAGAAAAACTATTAGAACTATAAAGATGAGTCAATTAATTGACTGACAGAACTGAATAGTAAAACTATCTGGACATTCTCATAAATGCTGAAATCTTTCTTTGTCTTTTGCGAAAGAACGTTTATTTAATTTTCTGTTTTGGATTGAAAAAAGTTCTAATATGTCACCTTGGGCTTTTGGATATTCTAATTGCAATTGTTTTCTATTTTCTGACATTTTATTGCAGATTTATCAATAATGGAAGTACAGTAATAGTTGTGCCCCTTCAAACAATTATTTAAAACAGCTGTAAATTTATGTCACATTTTTGTTATGCCAAATATAGTATATATTTGGTCGACCTTATCACTGTGCAAAATGTAACTTACATCAATTAAGATTAGAAAAAACTATGTAAGCAAACCAAACTTCATATTTATTTAAAATCTAATGAAAACAGCTGTTGCTGTGGTTTTATACCCACCATTATAAACACTTCGTTTTTTTTATACTGGCTGAACATTGTCACGTACTGGACAATGACTGTTCTTACATTTGAAATACACAATACACAGTACAGAAAATCTGTTGTAATATGCCTAACCTCAATGATCTATAGAGCTAACCATACAAAACACATTAGAGTTTCTTTTACTCTAACTCCCATATCATTACCATAGAGTCAACCAAGAAACTACAAGCAATGATGTCTGCAGTGTCCACTATGTTACTGAAGGGCTTGCATGGTGCCACCTCCAAAGCCAGCTACAGAAAGAAAAACATAAACAGTAAACATCAACAGAAATACAAACTGTACATTGGCAGTAAGAGTGTCCTTTTCTCTGGATGTTAGGTTCTATTTCCACTTGCTAACAAGTCACTTTGCTAGTTATAAATCTCTGTACTGTAACTGTGAGTGGCCTTGTGACTGAAACATAATGTTCTATGAGCAGCTCTGAGATTGACAAAACAGCTTCCGAACTCATACATTTTCTTAGTTCCTTAGGGTCACTACAGCAGAAACCCATGTGCCACAAAGCAAATTCCTCAAAATTATAGAGGTTGTAACTGTTATATTTGCCTCTAATGCATCTAAAACTCTTAAGCATTCTTATGCCTGTGCCTAAATCTTGGTTTTAACTAAATGAATATTAATAAGTCAACACTAAAGAAATGCAGTGAAAATGAAAAGTAAGAACTGAGTGAGTACTACTTACAGATGTTTTGACCCACTCTATGTATTGACGGAAGTAGTCAACTATCATCGCTGTGTATTTTTTTGTTTCCTGAGGAAGATTAAGACACAATGTGAGTAACACCTCATTTACAGATTGATAATACAAACAAAGTCAGACTGTAGTTACCTGACTGATTAAATGTGTAGTGTTCTGAGAGATGAGTAACTGAGCAGCATTGACAGCACTGAGAACTGCCAAGACTTTGTTCTGGAGAGAATAAAAGTCATTTTGAGATTAAGTCAAATTCTGATTTCAGATTTCTGACTGAGACTGGGGGGCTGGCTTACTTACTGGCAGGTCTGAGGCTGTTCTCTCCAAGAACCTCATACTCTGGTTCAAAGCGCTCTTTAAAAAGGGAAATCAAGAACACAAATTAACATTAGAAATATGAAAGGTCAGGGGGTTTCAACACCTTTAAACATATCCCCGTGAAACACTAAGGGAGACCAGGAAAGACCAAAACATTTTACTTCCATTACAGCCATGCTGAAGAAAGTTACTGTCTTTATTATACAATTGCTTAGCATTATATATGAAACAGCTGTTTTCCCTCCGCTGCTGGAAGAGACACATTTGTTACCAAAAGAATTCTGAAATATACCTGTGGTAACATTTCCCAAAGTGGATATTTTGGAACATTTCCATGCAAAACCCTTAATGTACAACAACACAGAGTATATGATTCTTATGTAAATACACACACACTCCTACAATCACATCCAAACTGAGATATAATTTCTTTGATTATGTAAAACAAAAAATATTTCTGTTCCAAATAATGGATGGGGACACTAAATGCACAGGACAGACATGTTTCAGCTTACCCTTGCTCTACCATATTTCTTGAAGTTGAAAGTGGAGCAAGCAAACAAACAAACACAAAAACATAAAAGCTGTTGTAAAGCACATCACTGTTTATCTGAATCGCTAAAAGCTTTAAATCCTTGGTGTTATTCAGAAGAATGAGAGTAGCTTTGAAGGCAAAAAAAAGAATATTTAATTTGTTTTCTGCAGACATGTCATGTTTGATGACACAAGCCTGAGGCAAAAAAAAATTGCTTTTGATTATATTAAATGACACATTGAATTTATGTATTCTCTGTCAGAGATGATACAATTCGATTTAAACAGGCTTTTTTTTACCTGGATAATGCATCAGTTGCTCTTACTCAGTAGCTTTAGCATTACTGCAAAACACTCATATTCATTAGTTTGGAGCACATTTTGAAATAGACCTTCTTTAAAACTGGATTCACTAATTAGGTATGTGAGCTCCAAAGGACTATAGCACACCTATTGCAGTCCTGTGGGTTTCTTATTATTATTCTTTTGTTTTATTTTTCGTCCACCAAAGTTTCGTCCTGCTACTCCTCCCCCAGTTTTTGAGGTACCTGCACCAAATTCAAGTATATTGTGTCTTCCCATTGGGAAAAATGTTTATAAAATGAACAGTTCTAGGTTTTCTGTGAATCTTTGGCCATTTGTTGAGGGGGTAAAGAACAAACGTGACAAAAGAATTAACCAAATTAATGCAAAATGCATCAACCTCTGTAGGCACAAAGCTTTTAAGTGGTTTAGGGAGGATGTTTCCTTTCAGGGGATAACTAGGCAAAACTGATTTAACCAAAAACAGAACCCAGTCATGTCAGGAATGAATGCAGTATCTGAATTATAAACAGAGGCAACACTCTGGGGCATTACCATGGCCTGTTCCATAGGGGTGATTTGTTGACTGTGGATCTGTCGCAGAGTGCTAGCATGGCCTTTCAGAGCAGTCTGCAGAGGGCCTCTGGGCTGAAACACACACAGATAAACACACAGTTTTGGTGAAATATCACTTGTCACAGCACAGAAAGGAATGTTAGCCCATATGTTACAACAGAAATCTTGTAAGAGAATTTTATTTGTGTCAGCCACTATGACACTATGGTGTTATTACCATGAGGTCTGCCTGGGCCTCCAGCACAGTGGCAAAGGAGAGCAGGTTCACTACAGTGACTCCTTTGTTCACCTGAAGATAATAATGTATAAAGTGAAAACATAATGTAAACAATCCTGTCTGAGTAACACAAAGAGGCATGCCATATAGCCATGTACTACTTTATAACAGCACCACAATTTATTTGACTATTATTCTGTGATTTGAACCATTTTTAAAAGCCAGTGTGTGCGTATATCAATGTGTGCCTGCATTTTATGTGTTTCCAGCTCTTTATTTCTCTCTGTGAGTCTTAGTGAGTGCCCCTTTATGTTTCTGCTATGTCCTGTGTGGTTCTGTGTGCCTTGCTCACTCAGGCATTATAAGTGTATCTTCATGTGTATGTTTCCCTCTGGATTTGTTCATTCCACAATGTTGGTGTGTGTCTGATCAGTTTTGTCTACATGTGTGTTACCTCCTCCAGATAGTCAGCGTAGTTGATTTCTGACAGCCCTGCTTCAGAGAAATCCAGGAGGTTCTGCTTCCCCTCTGGCTCTAACAAGGTTATTGTGCTCAGGTCGATCTTAATGCTGTCCAGATGACCCACCACATCCGCAGTAAACTGCGGAAAAAAGGTTTGTAGGTTTGATAAAGTGTGGATGTATTTAAAACAAGGACTTTATTCTTGAGTAAATATTAGAACTGTTTCTAGATGCCTACAATGTAACTATGTTTGGATGTACAGTGTTTATCTATGTGTTAACTGTCTTTTTTATGTTTGTTAGAAAAACTCATTTATTAATCACAATTTATGTTTTTGTGCAGCAGAGATAAGGCATTACTGTAACTATTCATAACACTGTTAACATAATGAAAAGCTTACAAAAATGCAAAACAAATTTTGGCACTTGGGTGACCAAACATGGCTTGGATGGAACTCAGTGTATTCCACTAGAATGCTTTTATTTGATGTTGTTTAACAGGTTCTCATTGTTTTTGCTCTAAATTTCAGTCCTAATTAATGCATTTCTCTACATAAATCCTTTCTCTAGTGGAAAAAAATAAGTACATTACAGTGCAAAATTAATATTTCTCAACTATAAAGTGTTAAAATAAAAGACGTCTAAACGCTTCCTACTGGGCAGACATTAGAAGTGCAATTTCTGCAGTGGTTTCATGTGAATGTGTCAGAAAAACTTTATAAAATAATTCATTAGTTAATTTTCTGTTTCTTCCATATAGCATGAAACCTTCTGTTATACTGTGCTACACTTGTAATACAGGCACATGCAGCATGGGCATGCCATAAAAAAACTGCTCCAACATTACCCCTCTGAGCATGGATTTAACGGATATGTTTGGTCATAAATGCCTAAAATGATGTTGATTGGACAAACTCTACCCATGTGACCTCTCGTGTATACTGTTGCCAGATTGGGGCAACAAAATGCAAACAAATATGGACTATTATGGAATATTAACTCTGCTTGGCAATATTAACTTAATACTTGTTTCTTGTCAAAGTTTAGTTCTACTGTATTTATGTAGGCTGTGGCCACTTTATAAGAAAAAAAACATAATTATAGTGACATTTAAGCGCATATCTTCTTAAAACCTTTCTACTAAATGAAAATGATAAAGTATCTTTATGACAATTTTAGTTACCTTTTAATCGCTCAAATCTGGCAACCCTGTGTATGGATTCTAGCTAATAGATGTCACAGGTGTGCCCAACGTAACTTGTAAATGAATACTGATTAGGTAGTTATTTTAGTTGTCATAATTATTCGATGAATTGACATTACATGTCTTTATATTCATGTGAAATACAGAGGGCGTTGCTGGCATCGTTGGGAAACCTCTGCTAGCTGACAAAGTTAGCTAACGCTAACTCGTACAGGATGCTGGGTACCGTTTTAATGGTAGCCAGGTGAGTTAACATTAGCTAGCCGACAGTCGCGGTTTGCAGTGGAGTTGAAAATTACTTATCTATACAGTATGAGACGTGAATAATATACCCCCAAACATGAGGGAGAACAAGCATTAGAAATACATCTCACTATAGGCTTTACGCAGTAACGTTACATTACTGGAGGGCATTAGATTTTATAGACTGTGTCTAATAGTGTCCTTGAGCAGTGCAAGTGTATGTTCCAAATTCTAACCACCTGTGTGTGTGTTTTAGCTGATGTGCCCTATTTTACTTCTACAAAGGCACCTCACAGCTTGGTAAAACGAACGGATACTGTCGTGACTGTTACTTCAGTGCGGAACTATAACACAAAAGGCCAAAGGAAGCATGAGGCGCTCAACAAAATTCTCATGGAGGACTTACCATACAAAGATTTTTGAAATTCCAGTAAGTACTAAATGAAACTAAATGTGGTTGGACACTAAAATCTCACGTTAACATGTTGGTTAAAGTGACACTACAGTTATCACCAAGCTGATGCAAGTAATCAACTTGGAGAATGTATGAAATCACATGTTATTTGCATTTGAGAATTAGGCCATTACCTGTATTTTCACAGTGACAAGAATAAAATGCATGTCGTTACTCAGGTAAAAAGGGAACATTCATATTTTGAATAGACAAGTACTCACAATTTGAAAATATCTGGCAGCAAATATCCAGTTATTTTTAATGATTTAAAAGCCCTATCATTTTGAAAGATTTATTACTATAGCTTACAGACCCAGTCTGTTGTATTGAAATTTTGCCAACTTAAAGCAGGCATTAAATGAAGACAAATGTCTGGAAAGGGGTGCCACATGGGGTGTATCAGCTGTTGGCTAAAAGGAGCCAAGACACTCTTGCCAACTGGCAGGAAAGAGCTGAATGTCTTGGCCTTAGCCAGAAGTGTCCAGTTCTGCATAATAAAGATGTAGAAAAACAGTGACTGAGACCTGTTACAGCTAACAGTCGTAGCAAAGAAATCATTAGTTCATTTTAATGAAATGCTGTAGCAGAAATGGAGCTTCCTGGACGCTGCATCACTGTTGGCTTATGAAACCACATGTCTAAATTGTGTACTCTATTATGTTCCTGGTTTGAGAATGTAGTGTATTTAACATAGGGAGAAAGACAAAAAAAAAGATATAATCTGTGTGCTTTTAGGTATTTCCTGTTAATACAGTGTGTCATTGATTGACCATTTTAACAGCACGTGCATTTTATGTCAAAGCTACTAATGGTGTGTCATGAATGAACTAACCGCTGTGGTGTTCAGGAAAGAGGAGATGTTGAAGACTTTGTCCAGACGCATGGCAGAGTAGATGCCTTTGTTCTCTTTGCAGGTGCTAAGAAGGAGACACGCATATAAATACATGCACAGAGGAGTAACAGAGAAAAGTAGAAAGAGAGAGAGAGCGCAAATGTCAATTTAAAAGCTTCAGAGTGACAATATTTGCTGCCACCAAGTGAAGCTGATGGGAAGTACATGTACATACTGTATCTTGCAATACCAGTATGTCCCATGATAACATTTTGGGAGCCATGCACCATATACACACATAATGTATACAGTATTAGCACTGCTTGCTTGCTAATGGGCAACAACTTGTTGAAGCAACACTGCTCGATTTGGAAATGTGACTGCATCTGCTGTCACAGGAGGATATGCAGCTTCTCACTGGAGGAAGATGATGAAAGCTGATGTAATCACTGAGAAAGAGGCTGAAGAAAAACAGCACAGATAGAAAAGGAAAAGGATGCTAATTAGCTGCTCCAGGTTACTTGCAACTTTCTCTCTCTCATTTGAATCCTGTTAATGGAAATAGAATGGAAGTGAGGAGAATTTCACCACAGCATTGCTTCTGAAAGGTGGCAGACACAAGACTGTCACCCAAATACATATAAATGAGTTTGCTTTGCCTGTACAAGCTCTCTGCTGTCAGCTCCAGCTCGGAGTCACCGTACATGTAACCAGGGATGAAGTTCTTCCACTCTGGGCGGACCAGATATGGGGTGTCCACAACCTGGTGAATCAGAGAGCCAGAATGAGGGTGTATGATCAGTCATTCTCATGGGAAGTAGATTAAATAAACCTGGGCTGACTTTTGCAGAGCAGAACTTAATTCAAGACCAACCTGCAGAACCAAACAAAGTAGCAACCACGCTTCACTTTTTCCTGTGTTCTCA